TTTTGGTCCATTTGCTTGTAGGATTGTTTTCCATCCTTTAACTTTGAGTCAATTTTTATCTTTTGTAGCTAAATGTGTTTCCTGGAGACAGCAAAAGGTTGGGTTTTGTTTCTTAATCCAGCCTGCAACTCTGTGTGTATTTATTGAACAGTTTAGTCCATTTACATTTAGAGTTAGTATTGATATGTTAGCATCTCTATTTGCCATTGTGTTTGTCTTTCCTTTGATTTTATTTATTCTTTTAATAACTTTTTTTTTCAGCTTTCTTTCGTTATTCTTCCCTCTGAGGTTCTGACTTTAGGACTCCTTGTAGTATTTTTTGGCGTGGGGGTTTAGTCATAATGAAATTCCAGAGTTTCCATTTGTCTGGGAAGGTACTTATTCTTTCTTCATAAAGGAAGAAAAGCTTTGCAGGATAGAGTATTCTTGGCTGGCATCTGTTATCTTGAAGTCTGTTGACTATGTCCCTCCACTCTCTCCTTTTCTGTAGTGTTTCTTCTTCAGAGAAGTCTGATATCAGTCTGATTGGTTTTCTTTTGTATGTTATCTGTTTCTTATCTCTTGTCAGCTTCATTATTTTTTCCTTGTCTTGGATTCTTGGGAGCTTTACTATTATGTGTCTTGCTGTATTTTTCCTTTCATCATGGAAGTTTGGTGTTCTTCTTGCTTCTTGTATATCAATTTTCAGCTCCTTCTTCATGTTAGTTAAGTTCTCTTCAATTATTTCCTTGAATATTTTCTCTGTTCCTAGGTCTCCCTTCTCTCCTTCTGGGATTCTTATAACTCTAATATTTCCTTTCCTCATGGAGTCAGATAATTCCCTAAGTCTTTCTTCAGTCTTTTTCATTCGTACTTCTCTTTCCTTTTCTGCTTTGGTTCTTTTTATTTCTGTGTCTTCGAGAGTGCTTATTCATTCTTCCATTTCCTCTATTCTGTTATCACTGCTTTTCCCAGCATTTTTAGCTCTTCTGTTAAACCTTTGATCTCCTGCATTTCCTTCATTTCCTTCTTTAGGGACTCAATTTCATTGTTCTGAGCGTTGTTTTCCTTAATGACTTCCATCAGTTTTTTCATTATGGCAATTTTAAATTCTTTTTCTGGAAGGCTCAGAATTTCTTCCAAGTCACCATAGTTGCAAGTTGGTGGGGGGGGTTGTTTTGGGTTTGTTTTTTTTTTTGTGTGTGTGTGGTGGTGTGTCTTTTTTCTGAGGCATTGCTACTTTGCTTGTTGTTTTTCTTTTCCCTGCTTCCTGTCTTCTAATTTGCCTTATGCATTGGGACAATGTGCCACTGCTACTGGCTGGCATCTTTTTGGTATGTTCTTTCCAGAGTTTCAGAAACTGGCAATCCAAATGAGTCAAAAACTGTTATGCCAGAAGTCTAGTGAGGCAGTGGTACTTTGAGTATTTTAATGATCACTGTCATAGAATCTCTCCTCCTTCTGTGTTTAGTTACAAAGGTGCGTCTTGAAGTCCCACAGACTTCCCTGGAGGTGGGGTAGCTGGATTGCACTCTGGGTTCCAAATCTCTGGATCCTCCTCTGGGCTCCGACTTCCTGCTAGGTGGGACCGGGCTTGTGGGGGCCTTCAGCTCACCTCTGACTTTGCAGGGAACCTTCTCCCTCTGTCTCGGGGAACCTTCTCTCGGATTCAAGCAGTGTTTATTGAAGAAAGGTCCCTGTTCAAAGATGGCACTTTGGAGATAGGCACACTCTTCTGTATGCGCCTGATCCGCCCTGGCTGTGAGTGCCCACTCCTCCTCTGGTTTGGACTGCTGGACTGAAGGGGCCTGGTGTGGGCAAACTTCCCACCTCACCTCTGGCTGCTCCTGGAGCCTTCTGCAGGTTTCAAGCAGTCTTTACTGAAGAAAGGTCCCTATTCTAAAATGGCGATTCAGATACAGGCACACTCTTTGGCGTGCCCGGTCAGCCCCTGCAGCAGGTACCTGCTCCCCCTCTGGGCTCGGTCTGGCCAGAAGGGGCCTGGCATGGGCGAACTTCCTAGCTCACCTTTGGCTCCTCCAGGAGTCTTCTGCTGGTTTCAAGCAGTCTTTATTGAAGAAAGGTCCCTGTTCTAAAAAGGCGATGTGGGTACGCACTCCCCTGCATGCCTGGTCTGCCCTGGCCTTGGGTGCCTGCTTTCGTACTGCTGGCCTGAAGGGGCCTGGCATAGGTGAACTTCCCAGCTCACCTCTGGCTCCTCTGGGAGCCTTCTGCCAGAGTCTGAGACATTCTTAACTGAGAAAGAAATGCAAGCCCACACTTGGGACTGGTGTTACAGAACCTCTCCCATGTCTCCTTCAGGGTCTGGAATCCTACTGCCAAAAGTTAATTGTCCTTTGAGTTAAAGCTTTGTATTTTTAGTCTTTATTAGTATGAAGTGAATAGGCCCCAATTTAAGTAATTATGAATGATAATCTCCTTTAAAATTTTATTTGACAGGTATATTTATATTTTAAAAGCTATTTGTGAGGGTCTCCCTGGTGGCCTAGGAGTTGAGTCTCATCACCACTGTGGCCTGAGTTCGATCCCCGAGCAGAGAGCTGACCCACATGTTGCAGCAGACCTCTCCTGTCTCGCCTGCTGCTCCCCTCAGCAGTGTGTTTCAGTAGAACTGCCTGTTCTGCTCCCCACTCTGTTTCTGGTGACTCCTTTCAACCCCCACACTCTGGCCTATACCCCAGTTCCATGCAAAAGAGAAAAAGAGAGATACTTGTGAGGTAAGAAAGGTAAAATGGCAGGTTGACCTAGAAAGGCAGAACTTAGGAAATCCAAGCAGCTAAAAGGAAATATAAGGGTGTTACATTTCTTAATATGTGAAATATTAAAAACAAAGATGCTATTGATAACTTTTGAGAACTTTTTTACAGTTTTGCTTAGGTCCAATAGGATGACATTATGGAAAAGTTATTTTAACTTTTAGGACCTTAATCTCCTGTGATGTTCTAATAGACCTGATTTGCAGTGTTCAAGTGTTAGGAGTAGACTAGTATTTTCCTTTTAATAGATCCATTCCATTTTATTGCAATATATTTTTATATGCCTCCTCTACATACACCAAAGCCATGGCACACCCTTGAGGATATAGAAAAAACACCCACAAAAGAAAAGCCCCTGTGTCTTCCAGAGTGTACAGTGTCTCCATGTTCTTCAAAGGACATTGAAAGTCAATGAATTTCAGCTGCAACTATAGCACCTCATTTGCCTTAATTTAAAGGCCCCAGTCTGGATTGTTTATGGTGTGTTTAGGTTTCCTTATAGCCCTCTTAGGATTCCCAAGCTTCTTTCCTCCTTAACTGTGTACTTCATTGCTGTAATTGAAGCTCTTTTGTTGCTGTAATTCCTTCCCAATGTTACAGTTTCAGTCAGTATTCTTTTCCTCCAGAGTGATTAATTATTGCCCGTTTTGAAAATACCCATGCTTGGTGTATACTTTTGCTTATCTTACCAAATCATGCCTTCTACTCTATGTGAAAGGATTCTTCACCTTTGTTTTTTTTTTTTTTTTAATTTCAGCATGTGCCATGCCCTTTTTTTTTTTTTTTGACCACTGTAGTTAATTGAGAGTATCTTCTCTGATCAGAAAATCAGCATTCTCCCTACAGTTTTATATATTTTTCCAATTTACAATACCTGTCTCGAGGCAGAGGGCTTAAATTTTGTTTTATTTGCTATTGGCTGTGATATTATTGGTCATTGGAACATTCCATAGCTTACCCGTACACTCCCTAAGGATTTTAGCAAGTCATTAAAATAAATGGGTATTATTCATTACAAGATCTTCACTAAAATACAAAATTGAAAGGGAGGATATTTCCACAAATGTGGCAGAGTGTACTAGAAAATAACCTCTTGTTTACAGCTCAATGAGTTTTTCTTTATAGTCTTGATAACTCTCATCCTAGTTAAATGGATACTTTATTATTACCAAATATATACACACACCCACACAAATTCACACACAAATTCAATTCAAAAGGAAAGGATACTTATTATTTTACACAATGTTACAAACACTTGGAAAGTTGTGTTTTGTTTTGTTTTGTTTTTAATAAAAAAGCAATATGCCTTCAGCTAGCACTGGAAAAGGAGCATTAAGTATGACAGACAAATTTGCAACTCCCACCCAACCTCAGTTCAAGAAACTTGACCCAGATTTCACTTCCAATTTCAAAATACTTTGTTCTTCCTCATCTGATTATTTGCAAAAGGGCTTGATATTTGACATCCAATAGGAACAAGTTCTTCATGTTGACAGCCCCAATTTGTGTTTCAGTGCTGGGAATTATGTGATTTATCCTAAAGTCGTCTGCTTCTGAAAGTGGTAGGAGTCGATTTCATTACATAAAAATGAAATACACTGAAATTTATTATTATTTTACTGAACATAAATCAGGAAATAGATTCAATGTATATTACCTAAAGACTGACATTTCAGGCCCCTCAGCTATGTGTTTCAGTAAATGTGTTTCCTTGTTCATTTACTGCTACATTTTGAATCATGGCCTCTACCCACATGACTGCTGCTGTCTCTCCCTTCTACCTGGATGAACCCATTTCTTTCCAAGGGTGACAGTATCCACAAAATAATGAAAGACCTAGGCCTGAGCTCCAATACACTTGCTAATTATCATATTATACAAACCCCAAAAAGAATTGATGCAGTCTAGTATCATGGTTTTTATTTGAATTGTATTTCATATTGATCTGTACATATTTCCTGTGTATTTTACTGTGTGATTTTTCAGTTACGACTTGAAGCAAGAAAATTGCCCATCTTCAACTTCGCAATGAAATTTTAAAGTATTGGCTTGAATATACAGAAATACACATTGAAACTAAATGTTGATGATGTTGGTAAAGTATTTTATCATACATTATTAACATATGTTAATTTCAAATGTAATTATGTATGACCCAGGCTAGAGTACCTGTGACTTCTCTATTCTTCTGTGGGATTTCTCTCTGAGAAAAATGTCATTCCGTGTGTGTTTTTCTCTCAGGAGGTCGAGTTATGTCGTGTTAGCAGTCAAGAAAAGCTGGGCCTGACAGTCTGTTACCGAACAGATGATGAAGAAGACACTGGCATTTATGTCAGCGAGGTAAGAAATGCCGTGGAGGAGAGAGAAGGGAGGGAGGCTGTGAAGATGGAGTGAAATGACTCACATGAAGAAAATCCTTGGGAGGCTTGAATGTGAGGAACTGGCTATGTTCCAATACTTGTCACATTTGATTAGGAAGGTAAATTATGTTACCCGAGTAATGTAATTATTATCAGCTTATTTAATGTGGAGGTTTTCACCACAGAGTCCCAGGATGGGAGAAAGCATGTGTGGTAACATTGTCAAAATTTGAACAAATTCCTGTAAGTATGAGAGAAGTAGACGAAAGTTTTTGCTCAACAAACATTTATCCTTCTTTCCACTGTTTTATCAGTCCCATTATTCCACTATCTGTTCCACTACCAATTTGTTTAAATGTAATATTCACCATGATCTAAAATTTTCTCTGCTAATGGGGATTGATAATTTTAAAAACCCAAAGTGTCTCTTAGTTTTCTTCAACCCCATAATTATTTTCAAGAAGTAAGATATATTAAGTGTGTAGCATTAATTATTTTGAAAGAATCACAAAGCAAAATTTATTATATAGATGATTTTTAATCCCCTAAATATCATTTTATGAGAACTAGTGGGTATGTTATTTTTAGTTAGATGTACATACAATTTAAAATTATATGTATATGCATGTGTGTGTGATCAGACATATTAAACATGTGTGAAATGATGAATGTGTATGTCAGGATATAGAAGTTAGACAAACAAGATACTAATTGCTGTTCCCACTTTCCTTGGTCATGATTTGAAAGCATAGGGACTGGATCAATTTACATTTCCCACCAACAGTGTGCATGGGTTGTTTCTCTTTCACATCCTCACCAGCACTTACTGCTTCTGGCCTTTTCGAGATATATAAGCCATTCTCACAGGTGTGAAATGATATCACATTGTGATTTTGATTTGCATTTCCCTGAAGTGATGATGAACGTTCTTGCATGTGCCTGTTGGCTGTTTATACATCTTCTTTGGAGTAGTGCCCATTTATTTATTTTGTCTATTTTTATTGGGCTTTTAGGGGTTTTTTTTTGTAGTTGTTGTTATTGACTTGTGTGAGTTCTTTGTAGATCTTGGGTATTAGCCATTTGTCAGATGTTCAATGTGCCAATATTTCCTCTCATTCAGTAATGTGTCTTTTTGTTTTTAAAGATAGTTTCTTTCACTGGGCAGTGCTTTTCAGTTTGATGTCCATTTCCTAGGTATCTATCCAAAGAGTGCAAAAACAGTAATTTGAAGTAATATGTCACTCCTTTGTTCACTGCAGCACTATTTACAATAACTAAATTGTGGGGGCACTTAATTGTCCAAGGACACATAAGTGATATTATTTATATATATATATATATATATATATATATATATATATATACACAATGGAATACTATGCAGTCATTAAAAAGATGAACTCTTGTTACTTGCAATAATCTGGGTGAAATGGGAAGGGATTATACTAAGTGAACTAAATCAGAAGGAGTAAGACAAATGCCAGATAATTTCATCCATAAGTAAAATGTAAAGAAACAAAGGATAAAACAAAACTAAACCAAAGCAAATGTAGAAATCTGACTGTAGAATTGAGAGTATTAGTGCAAAAGGGATAGTGGAGGGAGTAAATGCAGGAGGGAACCCAGTGGACTATAGGGGAGGACTTTAGGCACCTTTGTGGTGGGTGTGGTTTGATGACATACATTTGAAGAAGTGTGAACCTTTACTGTGAATCATATTATGTTGCAAACCAGTGTTAGTTCAATATGAAAAAAAAAACATAAAATTTAAGAAAAACATTTCTCTCTATATCTACTGGTCTTCTGGATCTCCTCTTTTTTGAATTGCCTCTTCGGATTTGCTGCTTATTGACAAATGTATGATGTTCAAATATTTTCTTCCATTTGATAGGGTTTTTTGTTTTGTTCTAATGGTAGTTTCTTTTGCTGTGTAAAAGCTTTTTAGCTTGATGTCATCCCATCCTTATTTTTTTCTTTCCCTTCCCTGAACCCCCAAAGACCTCATTGAAGCTAATGCCATTAATTGTTATGCTTGTTTTTCCTTTGCATTCTATTGTATCAGTCTTTAATCTACTCTGAGTTAATTTTTGTGTATGGTGTGAGAGAGTCAACTAGTTTCATTCTTTTACATGTAGCTGTTCAGTTTTCACAACACCATTTGTTGAAGAGGCTTTTCTGTCTCCATTGTATACTCTTGGCTCCTTAATCATAAATTGTCCATTTTCATGCAGATTTATTTATAGGCTTTCAATTTTACTCAATTGATCTATATGTCTATTTTTAGTCTGGTTCCTGACTGTTTTTATTACTATAGTTTTGTATTTTAGATTGAAGTCTGGGAATATGATGCTGCCATTCTTTTTAGTCATAATTTCTTTGGCTACTCAGAGTGTTTTGTAATTCCATGTAAGTTTCAATAATGTTTGCTCTATTTCTTTGAAGAATGCCATTGAAACTTTGATAGAGATTGCATTGAATGTATATATGACTTTGGGTAAGTGGCCATTTTGTTCTTGATTTTAAGAGGAAAGCTTTCAACTTTTCATCAGTTAGTATTATATTACCTGCAGGTTTGGGAAATATGAACTTAATTACTTTGAGGTAGGTTCCTTCTATTCCCAACTTGCTCAAAGTTTTGTTTTGTTTTTTAAAGATTTATTTCTTCATGGGGGGTGAGAGTATCCACCAGAGACAGAGCGGGGAACAGAACAGGTGGACTGACTGAAATACACTGCTGAGGGGAGCAGTGGGCGAGTCGGGAGAGGTCTGCTGTGCCATGTGGGTTGCACCCTGGCCAGGGATCGAACTGGTGCTACAGAGGCTGCAGATTGCCTCACAGTGCGGTGCCTAACCCCTGTACCACCAGGAAGGCCCTTGCTCAGAGCTTTTATAATAAATCGGTGCTAATCTTGTGAAATGTGCTGTCTGTATCCATTGATATTATCAAGGAATTTCAATCTTTTCTTTTGTTGACGTAATCGATTACATTAATTGATTTGTGTATATTTAACTATCATTGCACTCGTGGAATAAATTCTACTTGTTCATGATTGTATAATTCTTGTAATTTATGATTGAATTTGGTTTGCTAAGGGTTTCATCAGGGTATTCGTCTGTTCCTGGTTCGGGCATCATAAAATGTATTAGGGAGCATTCCTTCTTCTCTTATTTTTAAATAATGGGCAAGATGAGCACAAGTTATTTAAGGCTTGATAAAATTTGTTTGAAAATTTATCTAGTGCTGTGCTTTTGTCTGAATATAGTTTTTTAATTATTCTTTGAATTTCCATGATTGTAATCAGTTTATTTGCCTCTTCTGTTACTTCCTGAATTGGTCTTGATAAACTATATCGTTTTAAAATTTTGTCTATTTCTTCAAGCTTACTGAATTTATTAGGTTGGCATTATTCCCAGTAATCTTGTATGTTCATTTTTATTTCTGTGTAATTTGTGGTGATTTTTAATCTGTCATTTTAAATTCTGTTTAACCTAGCTAAAATTTCATGTACTTTATTTATTTTCTTGAAAAACCAATTCTAAGTTTCACTGATTGTTTGTATAGTCTTTTTGATTTCTATTTCATTTATCTTCATTCTTACTTTAATCGTTTCCTTTCTTCTACTATGTTTAGGTCTTGTTTGTTCCTCTTTTTCTAGTTGCTTTAGGTTTAATGTTACTTTGATAATGGTTCTAAAATGAAAATTTGTATCATGAGTAGCTTCTAAATGGGATGCAATTGATTAGTCAACCATTGAGTTGTTCTAGTAAGTTTCTGTTCACTATTTTAAATGTCAGCTTTAGAACTTTTCTTTTCCTGGATGGTAAGGAAGTCATACAAACAGAGAATATATATTTGGAAGGAACCTTTTCTTCATACCTCTTGTTATTATAGTGTCATTTGTTCTTTATTGACCAATTAAAATGTATTTAGTAGATGGTATAACCCAGTAACAAGGTAATTTCTAACATATAGAATAAATAGATCAACCTCATGCTACACTTGAAATACTTTGCTTGAAAATAAACCTTTTATGGAATTAGCTTAAATGAAAGGTACAAAGCCATCATGTGAAATGTGATAGTTGGAATTACCTCCAATGAACTACAAGTCACCACTCAAGATTGGCCTATTACAATGTTGATAAAGTCTTAGTAGGGCCTTAAACATGTTTTTATTCTGAAATAATGTATAACTAATATAATTAACCCTACAAATGAATTAGTGCCAGCTTGTATTTTTCATTTTTTGAGCAAAATGGATTATAAACCTCTTTGTAAAACAATGTTCTTAAGAGACAGAAATCCTTTTAATAATTATTGGACTTAGAGTATAGCTATCAGCTTTTCTCAGACAGTTAGGGTGAGAATTAAAAGTAACCCTAGTAGAAAGTAAAGTTACTGGGTCCAGAAAATCCTAATATTAGCATCACCTGAATATGGTACTAGCAAAAGACCGTATCTGACAGTTGGGATACAGAAATGAGTAGAGGGAAATAAGAAGAAGAAGAGATGAAAATTTAAAATAAGGAAAGAAAGACAGGGTCAGGGAGCAAGAAAGAGAAAAATGGTCTTCAACTTCTGCCATAGTTCTCTTTACCTCTATTGTTACTAATTTTAAAATAGTTCATTTACATGTTCAGAATCAGAGATTTTTGTTTTGTTTTGTTTTTAATAGAGGCATGTTTTATTTATTTATTTATTTGTTTGTTTGTTTGTTTTATTTATACAAGCACTGGGTACAGTCAGAAGCGCAGGAGGGTGAAAGAATTCACCAGAGCCAGAGAGGGGAGCAGAGTGCAGGCAGAAGGACCGAAGTACACTGCTGAGGGGAGCAGCGAGCGGCAGGAGAGGTCTGCGCGCCATGTGGGACCCTCCTCCTCCGGTGGAAGGGGAGCAGCCGGGGATCGAACTGGCGCCGCAGAGGCCGCGGGCAGCTTCGCAATCCATTGCTCAACCGCTGCGCCACCAGGGAGGCCCAGAATCAGAGATTTTTGACAGAAAAATATTTACATCTAATCTATAAAGAAATAGACTATTGAGTCAGGTTTTTAAAAATATTTTTTTAAACTGCATTTGTAAATTCTTGGGGGGATTTTGAACACCCAGTGGTAGACGTGAGTCCTCTTTGTTACAGGTTGATCCAAACAGCATTGCTGCAAGAGATGGCCGAATTCGAGAAGGGGATCGTATTCTGCAAGTATGTACTGTGTATTTTCTTTAGTTTTCTGTTCTCTATCCAACAGTTTTGGTTTTATTTTGTTTCATGTAAAATGTTAGGGAAAAAATGCCTTTGCTTTTAGATAATAGCATCAACACAACAAAAAACTATCATTTAAACCTTGTTACAAATTGAGTGATGTCATTTATTAAGAATTATTAGCTAATAATTAGTGATTAAAACTTAATCTCTATACTCATGTAACTTGACTTCAACTTTCAGCTCCACCTCTTACTTAAGTACATTAGTTAACCTTTCACTGTAAGACTGCTTCCTCGGCTTAAACAGTGATAATAATAATAAAACATTATTGCAAAGGTCAGGTCTGGTTATGTGTTTGATATGCTTAGTGCACAGTAAGTAATAACATTAACTGCTGATATCATAGCAGTAGTAGTAGTTATTGCTGCATTTTCCCTCCCCCGCAAAAAAATAAGTAAACCTAGATCCTAATGTTCCATTACTATATGAAAGTCTAGAAGTTTGGAAAGTTTTAATTATTTGCAAAGGAATTGCTGAGACTAGATGGAAAATGTGTGCCTTCCTCTCCATGTGGAAATATGAAGGCAAAGACTAAGTTTTGGTTTAATGAGAGATGGTATGCAGATTCCTAGGGGAAGGTGTGGAACTGGAAGGAATCTAGGTCAATTCAGAAATAACTCTGAAAATCAAAGTTTCTACCCTAAACCTACCTTCAGCCACCCTGTGGCTTGTGAGTCATTCCCTATAAAGAATGGATGCAGGGAGACACACAGCACCCAGCTCGTAGGTCCTGATTAACCTAGAACAAGAACAGAGGGCCTTCAGCTCTGTGTTTAGTGCAGATCTCAACAACAACACAGGGAGGAAGACTTGAAAGGTAAATTGAGGAAGTTACAAATTGAAAAAACATTCCGCAAAACTTTGCATCTCCGTGACACCTATAGTTCCCATCATTCTTATTAGATATGAACCCCTGAAGGAACTGTCTTTGAATTGAACATGAATAGATTCAATACTGTGCCTAGAACAATTAAGACACAATATGGTGTTGGAGGGGAAGGTGCACCATGACACCTTGGGCGATTGCCTGAGGGTGACCCTGCCAGCTTTCTAATAACCTTTTCTTTCAAGGGTGAGCCTCACTAAATCACAACTCTTCTTCCTGCCTCCCCTTTCCTTTCTCCAGCGAGATTCCACAGATCTCCTTTTTCATCAGGGGCCCTCTGCTAAGGTTCCAATTAGGAAAGAATCCAAAGTATGATTAAAGGTCATTCACCCTCCCACAAGTTTTCAGAAAACTTCAAGCAGATGTGATTTCAACTTGAGTGAACTCCCTGGGTGGTGGCCTGAAGTTAGACAAAATGGAATGTGTCTGTCAGTGGCTATGTAAGGGGAAGGAAAATGAATTTGAAAATCAAGACTTAATCTTGTTTCCTACCCTGTTTCAATGACTTTCTCAATCACACATGAATGAATGAATGAATGAATGAATGAATGAATGAAACAGACACTCCATGGGAAAGTGATAGGACAGATAAATTAAAACTGCAGTAGACCCTTCCTGACACAACTTCATTAAGAAAACAGTATCATTGGGCCTCCCCTGGCGGCGCAGCAATTGAGCTCTGGGCTGTGAAGCTGCCCGCAGCCTCTGCAGCGCCGGCTTGATCCCCAGCCACCGGCGAGGGTTCAAAAAAAAAAAAAAGAAAACGGTATTATTTTAGTGCATCATCCAGATAATGAGAGCTTCAAAGTGTTTTCTTCTTTGTTTTATTTGGAATGATTTTAAGTCTATTGTTCACTTTGTTAATATCTCCAGTTAAATACACTCAAAAGAATGGAACCAGGGACACTCCTGGATATTCAGAGTCCTGTAATGCCCAGCAATCATTACCCAATGCTGAGAAAAACACTCACTGGCTTAAAAGTCTGGTAGATACAGTGTCACCACATTAAATTACCCTCCTTGGCTACATATTTAATGTTGGGTCATATTTCAGTTGACACTTCTCACCACCACTTTGCCACGCCCTACAGCCTTGCTATCTCCCTTCCTAGTTTGCTGTAAATCACTTTCCCTTAGTTAGATACACAACAGTTACTAAAACCACTTCTACAGGCTCTGTGGCTACTGTTGGATAGAAATAATGTACCTTTGTTCCCATATCCATCTACAATACGCTTTGATACTTTTTTACTCTTGGTTTTATTGTGAGCAGTAAAGTTTTCAGATAAACTATTTATTGGACTATCAGGCATTCATTAGTGGAGTTGGTTCATTGAAGAAACAGCAGCAGGCTTGATGAAGTGCCGTTGTCTCCCTGATTACTTTATATTCAGTGACAAATATGTCACACTTAATGAATAAATACATGTCATATTAAAAAGCCTAGAATTCAATTCAATCTGCCCACACAGGATACAAAGAGTCTTAAGGGTGATGGTGAAATTATATTAAGTAAAACTGTGACAAAATTGGATCCATAGACAAATAGCTCCCATATGGCTGATGGGGAGATTACTGGATACCCTGCAATGAACAATTAATGACTCCTTTCCCAAAGATGAGAATGGAAGAAAGAAAAGATTTACTTCTTATCCTCCAAGTTTCCTGGCTGGCTTTTATTTAAATGAATCTCTTTAGAGCAACTGTGATTTTAATTTCATGTTCATGATGACCTACCTAAGTGGAGAATTTCTGTGGTTCTGTCCTCAATTGTATAGCTAAAATTTGGCAAGTGTAGTGGACTACAGTTTTGTGAGATGACCTCACCTAATGAACACACACACACACACACACACACACACACACACAAACACAGAGAACTTACTAAGTATTGACATAAGGTAAGAATAATGCAGAAGGGAAACCATGAACTAATATATTCTAGTTCTCATGCATTCTTTTCTCTGCAAGTGCTTGATAGTCCCTCTCTTGTGCTATTTCCACAAACTTGTATATCAAATGTGTCCCCAGGAATTAATATGAGGAAAACCAAAGGGCTGAATAAAGACATGTTTCTGAGCCAGGGAGGGAGGATTAAAGTCCAAGTTCAGGATTGACTTTCCAAAAGAATACTATATTTTTGTTTCTTCCTGAGAATAGTAAGGCTGTAATATTCCACGTGAGTCACCTAATCTTATGTTGGAAAAAAAAAATCACTGAGTAAGAGTCAGTCTTGCCCCTAAAGATGGCTCCATGAGAAAACCCTCAATACCTTCAACAATGGAACAATATGACTTCTAATGAGCTTTCTCTGCTTCCTGTGCTAAATAAACACTGGCACCCAGCAGTTCTTCATACTCTTCCCTTCTTCTCTTTGGAGACCTATTTCCCCCTATTTCTGTTTCTTCCGTCTCTGTCTCTGTACTCCCTTCACTTTCTTTTCCTATTAAAATATGAACAAAAATAAATCATTTCTCTTTTACTTTAGGTTCCTGAGCTTTCAAATACAATTTTTTTGGTTGGATGCCCAGAATTTCATTTGCCCACCTTGTTCTAGTACACTAATATAGAGTACATCATATACTCATAAAGCATAGACAATGTAGTATTTAGTATGCACTAAAAATGGGTATATTTAAACAAAAACCTATATTAGACCATCTGTACACTTGTAGGGTTTTGTACACACAAACATCCACACGTTCATATGACATTGAGCCTAAAGTGAGATTTTGACTGATTTATCTTGGTAATTGCCACAAATCTCTTCAAGACAAGACAATATCTGCATTGAAACTAAAATCTACATGTAGCCAGATATATTTTCCAGCAAGTTTTTTCCTCGTATATAACAAAACTCCTATATAACAAACTTCCTCTTATATAACTTAACTTATATGTCTCTGTCCTGGTTCTCTTTCTCAATCTTTTCTTAAAAGGAAGTCTTGCATTAAATCACAGTGGCATGTCAACTTACCTGACTTTTCTCCTTGAGTCCTTCATCTGGCGTTCTGAAGCATAGCAAGTTGCTTTACCATAAGCAATCCTATAACTATGAGCCTCATCCTTCAGGGGGAGAAAAAGCTAGCAAAGGTTGAAAGTGCTCTCTGATTCCATTCCTCAAATCTTTTCCTCCCTTGGGAGAGTAAAAACCATGACTGCATTTCTTACCCCCAAACCACTTTAGGTATCAAGTAAATATCCTGAATTTTAGAGCAGGAGTTTATCAACCAGTTGGGTAAAGTGGCTTTTATTTTGAACAAGAAATAATAGTTGCATTTTAATGTCAGATTTCTTATGCAAATGTGTTTTTTTAAAAGATTTTATTTTTATTTATGCATACACGAACTGGGGTGTAGGTCAGAGGTGCAGGGAGTGAGAGGAGTCATCAGAGACAGAGCAGGGAACAGAGCAGGCAGATCAACTGAAATCACTGCTAAGGGGAGCCTGCGGTGCCCTGTGTGGGTCAGCTTGCTGGTGGGGGAATCAAACTCATGCCACAGTGACTGCCATAGCTTGATAGCACTGAGACTTTAACCCCTGCACCACCAAGGAGGCCCACAAATGTGTTTCTTTCCATGTGATCCTGAATCTAAAAGTGTTTCTCGACCATCTGATTTGTCCCCCAAATACCAGGGTTGGAAACCATAGCTCTGTTCATGATGTGGTCACAGAGGACAGAGATGGGCACCAACTGGAAGGGGCTGAATATCAGATAGCCATATTGTCTGTCCATGGCCACCTAAGTGTTAAAAATACATATGAGATGGTAGCTTCTGTTACATTTTAATTTTTTATTTTATTTTTTAAGGTAACATTCATTTGCAACACTAAATCAAGTCTTTACTGGCCATGGAAATATGAAAAATTATGATAACAAGGGCACTATTATCATGCAGAGTAATTCACCCCAACCTTGGACATTTGCTTTATATTGGCACTTAGTTAAACCCATTACTGATACTATTTATTTCGTCTTTATTTTAAAACAGGCCTCTGCACTTTTATATAGGAAATATAATAGTACATTAAAGTAACATGAAGAGTATGTAGATGATGAAAGAGAAATTTACATGAAGAATTTAGAATTATGTATATAGTATACTCCATTGGAAACCAGAAGAAAAGTGAAAATTGTCAAATGGAAAAGGTGATAAACTATGAAATTTAAACTCAATCACTTTGGAATCAAATCATCCTATAGTAAAAGATAATTAGTTCTATATTCAATAGACAACTAGACATATTGAAATATACTACTAAGACACTAATAATAGGCATAAGCCCTCAAAACTCAAAGCAACTTTCAAATCATGATTTTCAAACTACACTTTATTGAGGGTAGGGATGGTGTCATGGAAACCATCACTGCCAGTTTATCTTTATTTGAGAAAAAAAGGCTTATATTTTGCATAGAAATAGATTTTCAGGTAGATATATATTTACAAAAATTCACAATATAGTCTTTTCCAATAATTCATTCCCATTTTGAATCATAACCTCTTTTTGCTAATTTAATAAATTTATTTGTGAGCTGCAAAAAGACAGGCAAACAGATAAAAGCTCAATTTCCTGTCTACATATGCAAGTGAAAAACTAAGGTGATGTTCATCTGCTTTTTGTGTGTAATAAATTTAATAGGAGTTTAGAAATACAGAGAATTTATTGTGGCCCAAAGTTGATATTCCTGGGTTTAAGATAATCACATCTATCTTCAAGTTTCAGCCAGAATCCCAGAGCCCCACAAGTGGAAAAACTTAGCTGTCCACTTCATGCTTTTAAGCAGAAATACTGAGTGAAAGATGTTAGATTAATTATTGAAAAAACCTATGTATGCAGCCACGTTTTCTATTAAGTTATTGAAATACTTAATACTTATTTTAGAATTACTTGACCTCTTTAAAATTTCTGTATATTTTGATTATATGTAATAGATCAATAATCTCATCTCTATAGATTTGGGCCATCAATCAATCAAAAAATTATCTGAAAAAAAGTTGTGCTAGCTAAGGTTTAAACACATTTTAACATGGAAATGCAATTTAAAAGGCAAACTTTAGCAACTATATTTGTCTTATCTTAAAAAAGAACTTTAAAAATAAACAAAATGTTTTTCTTTTTGTTGTTGTTTGCATAGAAGATCTGGGATACAGGCCAGAGGTGCAGGGTGTGCGAAGATTCACCAGAGACAGAGTGGGGAGCAGAATAGGTGGATCAACTGAAATACACTGCTGAGGGGAGCAGAGGGTGAGACAGGAGAGGTCTGCTGTGCCACGTGGGTCAGCTCCCTGGCCAGATATTGAGCTCAGATCATGGTGGTAATAGTGCTGAGACTTAACCCCTAGGCCACCAGGAAGGCCCCGCAAGATATATTTCAAATGCCATTGGCATCTTTTCCTTTTAATCAAAAAAAGTTTGCTCAAGTTTGGTTTCTTTAACTAAACACTCTTATAAAAAATATTAATCTTATTTTTTTCTTAATTTTAGATATATATTTTAATCAGGAACCTTAAGCTATTCCATTAGTTTTGTTGTTTTAGGACATGGATACATATTACAAAAGAACTGAAATATTGATGAGGACATGCCTGGTGCATACCCTTCCTTCTTTTCATTAAACACTGAAAGATACCCTGAGAGTGACTTGGGACAACCGAGTCAGACCCACACAGGGATATGAGATGATTAAATGAAAATGCAATCAGCAGTGGCCTGGGAGCACTGCCTGGTTAGAGATAACTGCAGCTCTCTAATTGGCTCCCAGCAAGCACACAGGATAACGGATTTCAGTTGTGGGATTGCCGGTCTGCTTGCCCCAGCACTATTATCTCAGAGTGACACTTCCATTACTCTGAGCGGAGAAAGATGAACATCACCTGTCAGGGACTGGTTAATTGTATTGCTAGATGTATGTTGCCAGGGCGCAGGTTGGACATTTATGAACATAACTGCTTCCTCTGATGTCCGCCATCCTTCAGAGATCGATATGGCTCTTACAGTAAGCGCGTAATTGAGTGAAGGCACTTACCACGAGGGGCTGAAGATGAGCCCATTGTGTGAGCTTCATTGTCCATACATTTACCATAAATGAGCTGATATTTGCCATTTATTGTGTGCAGCATTGTGGAAATGGAAACTAATGTGCCACTTTCATTTGTTTTCTAGATAAATGGGGAAGATGTCCAGAATCGAGAAGAAGCAGTGGCATTGCTGTCTAGTGATGAGTGCAAAAGGATTGTGCTGTTGGTTGCGAGGCCAGAGATCCAGGTCAGAACATGGCTCAGAAGGCTGGAGATGGAATTTTATATTCACTCCCTGCCAATCCAGAGCAAACCGGTGCCATGGATATTTGTAAAACCAAGCATACAAGGCTATAATGAGTGATCTTTCCTAACTTACCTGCCTTTCAAAGACTATTATGAACTTAGAGACTCCCTTATCTTGCTCCACAGAATGGCAGCTAAACATCTTCTTTTTTCAAAAAGCACACAAAATTGAATCATTATTCTCTCCTTCCACTTGCCAGTTATTTAAATGAGTTCATAAATAAAAATGGCTAATTGTATGTGATTTTTAATTCTGTATGGGTTCTGACTTCAGGTTTCCATCTAAAAATACTTAATTGGCACATTAAGGTATCTTGAAAAAAATCTCTAATGAGACAAACATTAGCATATCCAGCTATCGACTTAAACCTTTTCATAATAACTTTGTCAAATAAAGCACTGTGTGGCATGGCGAGATTCCAGGTATAGTAAATGAATTTTTTCCAAGTTTAGAGTGACTAAAACATCTTTCTGGCCAAAAAACAAACTGATAGCTTCTAAGGGGATTTTTTTAATATCTTTACAGAGGGAGATGTCATGAAATTAAAGGAAAGGTAATGGTGGAAGAAAAGCACTATTGGTATTTCCTTTTATATCATTTTTGATACCCCACCACAATGCAGAAAGGACACAGTATTGTCACCCTTCTATCCATCTGTCCATAGTTTGAGTGAAGTTGGTTATATCACCATTTGTCTCCCAGGTTATTAATCTGACATTTTTCAGGCTCAGTAACAACATACTATCTATAAATTACATTGAGTAAGTGTATTTTGGTGTCAGACTGAATCCTGACTTGAATATAGTGGTTATAAAAGATCACCCTTTCTGTGTATATTTTCTTTATGCCTGTGACCATTCTAAATGGTTCCCATAAAGCCTGCCATAACCCTGGGCAGAGAAAAGTTATACACCTGGGTTCTTAAAAGCAGGTTAGGGAGCTTATACAATGAGCTGATGTGAATTTTTAAAATATGCATGAAATTTCATCAATTACCTACTAATTTTGCAAACAAGTGTATCTCACTGATCCCATTTTTTGAAAAAGATCAGAAAAAAATAGTTCAATGTGTTTCAGAAATTCAAAACTAGGTAGTCCTCCCTGTTGTACAAAAGATATTTTATTTTGATGTTAGAATATAGTTCCCCTGCCCTTTTCATGTAACTGTTGGACAACCCCATCAATTTAGAATTAAAGCATTTTCTTAAACTGTGTCACAGAGTAGCTATAATGAACTGAGGAAGAATAGAAATTAATGGCCTAAGACCAGATCTTATTAATCTTTGATGGAATACATATGCTTGATGGAATCAGTGACATTTTTGCATCTGACTACATTTTACTGACCCCAAAGAATCAATGTTGGAGGATGAATTTTCAGGCAAGACTTCCTTCCACAGTTGATAAAAGATGGTTGTCTGACTGAGATACTGTCCTGTCTGTCAAAATCAGAATCTCCTCTGGCCCCTTGCTCCTGCAGAAAGCCTTTGTGACACTGCAAGGAGGCTAATTGCCTTGAGAAAGTCAGATAAGTAGAAAAAGTAAGGAAAGGAAACGCATTTTAACTTGCTGCTTTAAAATGTAATTTAAGCAGAACCTGCTGTATAGTGGAAGAAAAAGAAAGAGCAAAAATTGCCTTTATATCACCCGTATATTTCCATCAACTTCAACATCTCACTATTGCGTTTTTTTGCATGTGTATTTTACTCAGGGAGAATGTGAATGCTTTTTGTGTGCTTTTTCTAGCCTTTCTTATGTTTTAATGTTTCAAAGATTCTGTACATTCTTGGAAATGATCTATAGTTGCTGGGGGCTAGCTTGTGCATCCGTGCGACATTTTAAAATAACTCATTTCTTCCATTCCCTGTCAACTTTTTTTCTTTTCTGCCCATTTTCTCCCTCAGACCATTAAAGAGATTGCTTTTCTTGCCTATTCCCCTTGGGACATTGGGCAGTGAGGGTTCTCAAAAGAACCTGTAGCCAATACTTGTAAGACTGTGCAGGTTGTTTCTTTCTCAAAAATGCCGTGTGTGTGTGTGTGTGTGTGTGTGTGTGTGTGTGTGTGTGCGCATGCCACTGCCACCCAGCCAGAGGCCTGTTAACAAGGAGAGGCCTCCCTTCTCAGCAGGCTGGCTGTGGGGGGAAGGTCTGTCTGCCAGTGTTGGTGAAAGGAAATGAGGGAGGAGACTTGCTCTACATTCACAGTGCTGTTTATCTCCATCCTCTAGTAGAGTCTAATCAAAATAGACATAAGCTGACTATAAATGGCAACTCTAAAAAGGATGGGATTGGTTAGTAAGAAAAGAATTACTGGGAATCATTAATTAACGTCTGCCTTTTATGCTCCACACCTTCCTCAACCATTTGTTTAAATTTCAAAAGACTCTTTCATCACTCACGATATCTGTGTTAGCAAATATTTTGTGTTGATTTGATTAAAGAAAGGTTCCTTGGTGTACTTTCAAAAAGTAAACTTTCTAACTTGAAATAATTTGGTTTAGTGTCTGGGATTTGCTACTGCATGAAACTTCAAAAGATTAAAGAATGTAAAACTTGGACAGTTAAAATTGGGATGGATTTAAATTTTACTCAGTTATTTTGATAGTTCATCTGCATATCAAAGTCAGAGAACTTGCTCTAGTTATTCAGGTGACATTTAAATGAATAAGAATGAATAAATGCCCCAGCCTTGGGCCCCAGTCAGTTTTTTTTAAAAAAGAAAATTCTGGAGAGCTAGAATAATAGCTCCCTAGAAACCGGTGTTGCCTTCATATTAATGAGTATGCTACATACTTTCTAAATCCCCTTCTGTGCAGATTAATGTTCTTTTAGGTGTCTTTTGGTTTTAAGTTCTAGAAGTTCAGTTACCTTGAAAGCTTATTTGCCCATTTGTTCAATGGTGAAAATACTTCAAGCTGCTGTTAATGTTGGCTCACTAGTGAATTGTAGTTTCTTTGTAACACAGACTAAAGCCGAACCTTGATAATAATTGAATTAATTTAATCAACACACTCAATTTAAGTAATCCAACACCAAAATCCCACTTTGAGGTAAATTACATTCATCATACTAGCAAGGTAACTCCCATTTTCTACTTCAGCTTGTATGGAGAAGCTGAAGGGATTTTTTTGTTCAGTGTAATTTGTGTAAGCGTCCCACAAGAATGCTTGGATTCTGCACCCATGAACAAAACCCTGCATGCCTCACCACCCTCACATGCAACATTTAAGGTTCTTCTTGGAATTGGGCCTAAATATAACCCAGAATGCACATGGTGTAACATTACTTTTTTGAGAATAATAACTTAGAATTTACCTTTTTTCACATAAAATAACATGTTGGCTGTGTTTGTGGCAAGCCGCCATCTTGTTAACTTGGAAACCATCCACTGGGGAAAAAAAAGTGCTAGATAAGGGTTGAGGGGATTAAGGGTGGGGGCACTTTCTGTGTAGTCACATTGGGGGACATTGTCAGGGAAAAAAGCCCAATTGTTTCCTGGCCCTATTAGTACCACTGCAGCTTTTTAATAGTGGGACTGTTGGAGGTAATGAGTGCGACAGCTGTGGATTATGCAGTATGCTTTTCATACATTCTGAAAGACGATAATGTTCTATGCTATGAGATCTTTTCTGTTATGAGAGAAAATCTGTAGCCCTGTTTCAGGAAAGGATAAAAGGCATAAAAGTCTTATTTTTTTTATCACCTTTTCTTGCTGCTAAGAGGTGAACTATCAGAGGCTGGTATTCTGAAGAGAATCATTATGATAAAAGGAACTAGTCAGGCATCACCATTTAAGTTTACCTTATTTTAGCATGAGTTCTCACTAGCCTAATAGAATGTACTAATGTGTTACTTTGCAGCTGGATGAAGGCTGGCTGGAAGATGAAAGGAATGAGTTCTTAGAGGAGTTAAACTTGGAGATGCTGGAAGAACAGCATAATGAAGCCACGCAGCACACGGCCAAGGAGGTGGAGCAGGTAGGAACAACAACTTGAACTACATCTTTGGAAATATTGCCAGTTCTTTTTCTAATATGTAATCATGAATAGAGTTAAAAAATCAAAGAGTTTGATCACACATCTCTGTCATGACAAGTTTTGAGAGTAAATGATCTTTCAAATGAAGCAGAAGGACTAAACTTTAAAAGTTTAAATTCAAAGTATTTCTGCTTTGAGAAGCTTGGAGATGATTGTCAGTCATGCACTGTAGTATTCAAATGCTGAACTCTGGACTGTTCACCCACTTTCAGAAATTTAATAGCAAAAATGTGGTGTTTCTCCTCTATGCTAGTGGAGACAAACTATAGCTCATGAAGTGACCCTTCCACTTCAGAAAACAATTTTACACTTGTAATTTTTACTCTATCTACTTGAATAGGCAACTATAGAATGAACATGGCAAGATAGAAGCTATCAATCTTATTTGTGGCTCAGGTATCCTGCTTATATCTTGACACCTATGAATTGGAGTAGTTTTCATTGAAATGACTGACATAATTTTGTCTTGGGTCACAGATTCATACACGAAAAATTATGAGCTCCTAAGATGTATCATCATGAGAATACCAAGAAAAGTGAACAGATTCCCCGCCCTTAATTCATCCACAGTGTGACTATGGCAGACTGAACCTTAGGGGTCTTTCATTCTTCTGGTTATTTTCTTTTTGGATAAAAACAAGATCAATGCACCCTAGATTTCTTTTATGTTGGATTCATAGCCGTCATCTGCCTGATACCACATTATTAGCGCTTATGCTGTCAGCTGACCGATTTGCTTCATTATCATTTTACTTTCACTATTAACATAGCCTAAAGGATTTTTTTAATCTTGACAGATTGAGGAACACGAAACATAAACATTCTATCACTTTACTAAGTTGAATGATGGAACAGTATTGACATGCTAACGTCATGCTGATGTCTCACCGCAGAGATGAGCATGTGTGCACGCAGGCACATGCGCATTTCCATTACTGCAGGTGACTTCCAGAGAGCCCTGTGTGCCGTAACAGATGCTCACGGGCCACTTTGCAACAGTAGCTCATGCTCAAAAGTGCTGCTTCTGCTGGGGTGATTGCTCTTCAATACAGGTGGACAGATGGAAATTTTTATGTATGACTTCAACACTAGTCACAAATAAAGATATTCTTTGGTGGCAGATGCTGGTTACATGCAAGAAAGTCCTTGCTCCAGGCTTTTCCTCTCTTAGATACAAAATATGACCTGCTACAGTATTGACAAGAGGATGTGGGAATAAAGAAAGAAGGAAGAAATCCTGTCCAGGGGAAGTGATAGGGTGTCAGGTGCTGCTACTCATCACATGTCACACAAATGCTCGGTCTTTTGAGGAAACGTCGGATGTCCCTGCGGTTAGATTCTCATTCTGTGGAAATTTTTCTTCGCCATGAGACTGAAAAATGATGAGAAGTACAGAAACCTTTAAAAGTCCTTTGCCCTACTAAACAACAATACTACATTAGAAATGTCTTGGTAGAAACATTGCCTGTCACAGCAATAATTCCATGGGGAAATGATAAATGATAGAGTAGCAGTCTATCAACCAGGATTTCCAGATCTGAAAATGGAAAGCTGTTTATTTTCACATGTGGTAATAAACCAAAACAAATAAATTTAATTTTAAAATGCATACACATACTTACAAATGAAAATACAGATCCACATGGACATTTTGTTTTGCATACTGTCCATCCTTGATGCCATGCCAATGTAGCCTCACTCAGCATATAACCTGTGGCTGTCATTTGTACGGCATGTAAAACAAGAAAAAATGATACTAGCCCTCTTGTATTTTTTCCAGTTCATCACTAGATATGAGAAAAATATAAACGCAAATAATATAGTATATAAACCCAAATGCCCAATATCAATCATGCTGTTTGGGCGGTTTCTAATGAAGTGTTGAGAAGTCATCACATTTGATACTATTGTCAGCTTATAGCTAGGGACAGAGGCAGTAAAAGCATTCCGTTGTTAGGTATAGTTATTTATAACATTTTTTTATCAATAAGACTTCAAATCAATCTCAATATGTTTCCAACAATCACAGAAATGCTTCAGAGAAAGATTGAGAATCCTAACATTACATATACACGATCCTATTTTCCCCTCTCTACTTTGTTCCATCATTATTTCTATGGAAAATAATAATTTATCTAAAGACACTCTCTCAGACCTGATTCAGAACACTCTTTATCACCTATATTCAGTCCTTCTTTAACAATAACAGGCCAATGGGCCTCTCTGGTGGCACAAAGGGTTAAGAGGCAACCTATGAAGCTATTCCCAGTGGCTGCAGAACAAATTCCATCCCCGGTTGGCCAGAACAAATTCCATCCCTGGTTGCACCCACATGGTGCAGCAGACCTCTTCTGACTCGCCAGCTGCTCCCCTCAGCAGTGTATTTCAGTCCATCTGCCTTTTCTGTTCCCCACTCTGTCTCTGGTGAGTCCTTTCACCACCTCCCCACACACACACCTCTGTCCTGTACTCCAGTTCTTGTATACATAAACAAATCTTTAAAAAAAAAAAACAATAACAGTAACAGGCCAAATAATATTTAATTATATAGTTACATCTACTAAAGAAATATATATTTATATATTTATTTCTATCACCTACTATTAGAAACAATATATACACATAAAAAATAGTGAGTAAACTTAGACATAGGGGAATACACTCTGGAAACTGCCTCATTAAGTACTTTATGATGAGTGATGGAGGAAATGGTAATTTTATTCACAGAGAAAGAACTGCTTGTGCATTCTCCTTAAGGCAGTAACAGAAATTATTCTTCATGAAAGTAAAAGCTTCCCAGGGAATGAAACTTACATATATGCATGTGAGTGTGAGTGTATGAGATAATCCCATAGCAGGAAGGATCTGGCTTCAGTACTAGTCCATCCTAGATTTTGTGGTATTTGGCTTACTATAATCATTCTATTACTAGATCAGCAATGTTTACTCTGAATTTAAGAAAAATTCATAAAATGTTAATGAAAATGATGCATTTTCTGAAATCCAGGACTCCATATTGCTGAAGACAATTTAGACATCTGTCTTCCTCATGCCTTTGCTTACTGTCACCTCAGAAACTAATAGTCACCTCATTCACACACCTGCACTCTAGTTTCCCACAGAAAACAAAAGACAAGAATCCCTTATTTAAATGTGTCCTGTTTTATTTCTCCCCAAGTGGTTATCACAGTCACATTTAGGCTGTTTTTATTTTCTTTATTTCTTTTTGTATCAAAAGCTGCTATGTGTCAATTGCCTTTACTTGTGAAATTGTTATGTATCCTAAAGTGAGAGCTGCTTTCTAGAGACTTTACTTTTGCCAGGAAGCATTGTTTTTTGGACAAGTTTTTCAATGAGTAGTGTTTCTCAAAATAATCAATTTTCTTCTTTCCCCTTTCTCTTTTCTTAGCCAAAAAAACAAGAAGAAGAAGAAGGTACCACAGACACAGCCACATCCTCATCCAATAACCATGAGAAGGACAGTGGTGTTGGGCGCACAGATGAAAGCTTAAGAAACGATGAGAGCTCAGAGCAAGAGAATGCAGCTGAGGACCCCAACAGCACATTTTTGAAGAGCAGGAGAGAACTGGGGCAGAGCCAAGACACGCTGGGAAGCATTGAACTTCAGTGCAACGAGAGCTTCGTGTCTGGTGAATGCCTAGACTCAGACTGCACTGGCCACCCAGACGAGGAGTGTGAAAGATTCCGGCAGCTCTTGGAGCTCAAGTGCAAGATTGGAAATCATGGCGAGTATGACCTGTATTACTCGAGCAGCACAATTGAATGCAATCAGGGGGAACAGGAGGGAGTGGAACATGAGCTGCAGTTGCTTAATGAAGAGCTAAGAAACATTGAACTTGAGTGTCAGAATATCATGCAAGCTCACAGGCTCCAGAAAGTGACAGAGCAGTATGGAGACATCTGGGCGTTGCATGATGAAGGGTTCCGAAATTATAATACCAGCATGGATATGCAAAGGGGGAAACTCGATGACATCATGGAACACCCAGAGAAGTCAGACAAGGACAGCTCTAGTGCTTACAACACAGCTGAAAGCTGCAGAAGCACCCCACTCACTTTGGACCGGTCCCCCGACAGTTCCCTTCCAAGAATGATCAACCTTACCAACAAGAAAAATCTGAGAAGCACAGCTGCAGCCGATCAGTCCTCTTCTGGACAGAGCAGCAAAGACTCCGCCTCCACCAAAGCCAAAACCACCGAACAAGGTTGCATCATGGCGTGCAAGGAGAAGATACTGGAAAGCAAGCTGTCTGATCAGGAGAAGGCAGGCAGCGAACACACCCCTTACCTCTCTCCCTACCACAGCTCCTCCTACAGATTCGCCAACATCCCGGCACACGCCCGCCACTATCAGAGCTACATGCAGCTCATTCAACAGAAATCGGCAGTCGAGTACGCGCAGAGTCAGCTCAGCTTGGTGAGCATGTGCAAGGAGTCCCCTAAGTGCTCGGAGCCAAAGATGGAGTGGAAGGTGAAGATCAGAAGTGACGGTACCCGGTACATCACCAAGAGGCCGGTGCGAGACCGCATTCTGAAGGAGCGTGCCTTAAAGATCAAGGAGGAGCGGAGCGGCATGACCACCGACGACGACACCATGAGTGAAATGAAGATGGGGCGCTACTGGAGCAAAGAAGAGAGGAAGCAACATCTGGTGCGGGCGAAGGAGCAGCGGAGGCGCCGAGAGTTCATGATGCGGAGCCGGCTGGAGTGTCTCAAGGAAAGTCCCCAGAGTGGCAGCGAGGGCAAGAAGGAGATCAACATCCTCGAACTGAGTCACAAGAAGATGATGAAGAAGAGGAACAAGAAAATCTTGGACAACTGGATGACAATCCAAGAACTGATGACGCATGGAGCTAAATCTCCCGACGGCTCGCGGGTTCATAACGCCTTCTTGTCAGTCACCACTGTATGACCGGATGCAAATGATTTTCAGAAGATGCTACCAGTTTGGGTAGAGTATGATTGCCTCGTTAAATGTGGCATTTTTATATATATTTTGTGACTCTTTATAGTTTAAAGTTTTTGTAAGCAAAAATACTTGGTAATTTTTTCATTTGTTATTCATATACTGGTACCTTCTTTTTGGCTGAAATCTTCCTTTAACTTGTGATATATTCATATTACTCATTTATATATAAAAAACAAACATAAGAAAAGAAAAAAAAAGCTTGAAGGAAAATACTGAGGAGTCAATTAATTTCCTATTTTAATGTATCTATTGTAAGTTAAGATCTGGATTTATTTCTCTAGTTTACTTATTTTCTACTTTAATAACAACTCAATGCCAAAACCTTTCTATGCTTGCTTCTTGGTGGAATATGTAGTAAATCAAACCTGTTAATTAATCCCGTGCTGCATCTTGTCTTATACATAAAGCCACTTCTTTTAACATCCTATTGTACATTGAACACTGAAATGGCCATTGTCTTTGTCTCAGTAAAGTGTAAGTGGACAATCTTCTGTGATATGTGGTGACACATTGGTCATGTAGCTAGATAATTGTGGTAATTGTGACAATAAAAGAGAAATAAATTATTGATTATCCTTAAGAAATGTCATCAAGGAGTGTTTTATTTTCATTGTCCACTGTGTTACCAGATATAAATTAGTTACATATGTATACTATTTAGAAGACTCCTATTTGTGGATTATAAAATGTGTACATTTTCTATTCCTTTTTTTCAATAAAATTGTCTTGAAATACTTCCCATAGATTATTGTGTTGCATATTCTTATCGGGATTAAATTAGATGATGTCTGTAGAGCAGCTAATAGATGCTAAGTAAAAATTCAGGAAACATGAATTTATTGAATATCTGTCACCCATGTAAAGTAAAACCAAGAAAAAATGTAAGGGAAAGGCATGAAGAAATAGGGTCAGTAAAGAGAATATTTATAATGATATAGAGGGAAAATATATATTTATATCACATACTGCTAGAAATAATATATACACATTAAAAATAGTGAGCAAGCTTAGACATAAGTTTACATAAGACAAATGTGTATTGGGCAGATTGGAATGTGATAATAAAATATCATAATAACATGCCATGGACTGTGTTACTTATGTAACTGGATTTAGGGCCTCCCTGGTGGTGCAAGGACTGTTTCAGTGCAATCAATCTATCACCTGCCACTGCTGCCTGAGTTTGATCCCCAGCCAAGGAGATAACCCACATGGCCCAGCAGACCTCTCCTGTCTCCTCACTGCTCCCCTCAGCAGTGTATTACAGTAGATCTGCCTGTTCTTCTCCCCACTCTGTCTCTGGTGAATCTTCTTACCCCCACCTCTGGCCTTCACCCCAGGACTTATATGCATAAATAAATATAAACAAATATTTTTTTTTTAAAAAAAAACAGGATTTATTTATCACGACTCTGGATTCTGGGAAGCCCAAGACCAAGATGCCAACAGATTCTGCTGCCTGGTTAGGGCTATATTCCTGTCACTGATGGGACCTTCTCATGGTACCTTCACAGAGTGAAGAGAAAAATAGTAAGATTTCTGGTGTCTACTCTTATAAATGGGCACTGATCCCCTCATAAGTACCCAACTTTGTGACTTCATCAATCACCATCCAAAGATTCTATCTCCAACTACTTTCACACTGTGGATTAGAACTTGAACATTTGAAGTTGTGAGGAAGACACAATTCAATTCATAGCACTATGTACATTTATTTAGATGATCATTTGAGAATAAATTTGGGGGAACTATCTTTTTATTAATTTCCAGCATCCTCAACTGTAAATGCCTTATGGGTTATTTAAACATAAGATTATCAGGTAGGTTTTTAAATATAGCTTTTCATCATATAAATATCTTTCTTTTTCTTTAGATCTTCACTGAGTTATTTCTGACTTCTTAACAGCCTGTTCATTTTTGCTGAAGTTATTTTATGCTATTCTCTCGGATTTCTGTGTCAAATCCTCCATCTCCCTTAGAGGACAAATCCTGTATCTCCCTGCTTTTCAAGATGTGACAGAAATTGGTATAAGGGTTTTCTCTTTGGTAACTATTTTGATCATTTCTTGGCATTTTTTGCACACTCAGTGAAGCGCACGCAGTATCCTTTTACCTTGGAAATTTCATTTTCCATTATATGAATCATATACATGGAACTTACTGCCTTCCTGTGTAGATTTTAAGTTCATGGGGCTTTGCTCTTGCTCCCCTCTCTCTTTGTAAATGGCTGGTAGAATGCCATCTGAATAATAATGAAGTTAAATTATTTTATTCATGCATCCTTCTCCTCCACACATTGATCCTTTTGTTCCTTAATCTTCTACCCTCTTGTGTTCTTATTTTGGAATCTTATTTACATGTAATGAAAAGCTGGACTCAAAAATTTTAGCCCAGTGATAGTTATAGCAACTTAAGGCTACTAAAAATTTAACCACTTCTAATATTAACTATCTTTAGTCCAATCAGTAAGACTGCTGAGTAAGCCTGGCGTTACTTTGAATCCAACGGTTTTAAATAAGAATGCTTATCAATTAGTAAAACCCTATGCGATTGTTTATTCTTTTGACAAAACTTGGTTTTAAATAATCATTGAATATGAGTTTTATCTATAGTAAATGTGATTTGGAATCAACAAATGGATTTCATCAGAATAAACAAGTACCAATCACAGAAGATAGTTTCGCCCAAATTACCAGCTTTATCCTATTTTTATTAAAAATAAGTATGCTTGCTAATTGTTTAAAAATGGAAGGTTACAGCACTATCACCACTATAGCCTGAGTTTGATCCCTGGCTAGGGAGCTGACCCACACAGGGTAGCAGACCTCTCCTGTCTTGCCCGATGCTCCCCTTAGGAATGTTTTACAGAGATCCACCTGTTCTGCTCCCCACTGTATCTCTCGTGAATCCTCTCACCCTCCATACTGCTGAACCATGTCCCAATTCGTCTATGCCAAAAAAAAAATTTTTTTTCTGCTCTCTCATCACAAACAGGCTATATGATGAATAGCTTTATTATTTAGTTTTCTCATCGGTAAAATGCAGATGATATCAGTACATAATATATGTCTTTATTTTATTTTTATTATTATTTAAATTTTATTTTTATATTACCCATACAATTACAACCACTTATTTTGACCCCAATCCCTCCTTCCCCCCACCCATAGAGTAACTCTGGTACATAGTTGTTTGTTGATTTTGATATTTTCTTTCTTATAGTTATTGTTTTTCCTGGTCCCTTATTTAAGTTTTCTAGATTCCTGCTATGAGTGAAACCATCTGGTATTTTTCTTTTTCTTTCTGACTTATTTCTCTGAGCATGATCCCTTCCAGTTCCATCCATGTTGCTGCAAATTGCATGTGTTCATCTTTTTTGATTGCTGAGTAATATTCCATGGTGTATATGTACCACATCTTCTTGATCCAGTCATCTATTTTTGGGCATTTGGGTTGTTTCCAAACCTTAGCTATTATAAATAGTGCTGCTATAAACATAGGGGTGCAGGTGCTCTTTGGAATTGATGTTTCTGTGTCCTTTGGGTAAATACCTAGGAGTGGAATTGCTGGATCCTATGGAAGCTCTATGTTTAGTAGGTCAAGAAATCTCCACACAGCTCTCCATAGTGGTTGGACCAGTTTGCACTCCTACCAGCAATGCAGAAGAGTTCCTATTTCTCCACAACCTCGCCAACATTTGTTGTTGCTGGTATTTTTTAGTATGTGCCATTCTCACTGGTGTAAGATGGTAGCTCATTATAGTTTTGATTTGCATTTCCCTGATTACAAGTGATGTTGAACATTTTTTCATATGCCTATTGGCCATATGCATTTCCTCTTCAGAGAAGTTTCTTTTTAGCTCTTCTGCCCATTTTTTTGACTGGATTATTTTCTTTGTTGTTGTTGAGTCTCATCAGCTCTTTGCAGATTTTTGTGATCAGTCCTTTATCATTAGTGTTGGGTGCAAAAATGTTCTCCCAGTTGGTGGGGTTTCTCTTTGTTTTTGTTATTGTCTCTTTTGCTGTGCAGAAGCTCTTTAATTTGATGTAGTCCCAGCTGTTTATCTTTGCCTTCACTATCACTGCTTTGGGTGATGTGTCTGTAAAGATGTCTTTGATGTGCAAATCACGTAGTGTTTCGCCTATATTTCCTTCTATGTATTTTATGGTTTCAGGTCTTATGTCTAGTTCTTTAATCCATTTTGAGTTGATTTTTGTGTATGGTGTGAGGTAGTGGTCAAGCTTCATTCTTTTGCATGTAGCGACCCAGTTTTCCCAGCACCATTTATTGAACAAACTTTCTTTGCTCCATTGCATATTCCTTGCTCCTTTGTCAAAGATTAGTTGACCATAAATCTGTGGGTTTATTTCTGGATTTTCTATTCGATTCCATTGGTCTGTGTGTCTGTTCTTGTTCCAATACCATGCAGTTTTGATGATTATGGTTTTGTAGTATAGATTGAAGTCTGGGAGTGTGATACCTCCATTCCCTTCTTTTTTTTTTCAGGAGAGCTTTGGCTATTCGGGGTTTTTGGTGATTCCATATGAATTTCATCAATAATTGTTCTATTTCTTTGAAGAATGACATTGAAATTTTGATTGGAATAGCATTGAATCTGTATATTGCTTTTGGTAGGATGGCCATTTTAATGTTTATTCTTCCAATCCATGAGCAGGGGATGTCTTTTCATTTCTTTGTGTCTTCTTCTATTTCTTTTAACAGTGTTTTATAGTTTTCTTTGTATAGGTCCTTTACCTCTTTTGTTAGCTATATTCCCAAGTATTTGATTTTTTTGTTTTGATAATAAAATGGATTTTTTTTATTTCTTTCTCTTCAGATTTATTGTTTGTATATAAGAAGGCTACTGACTTTTGCATGTTGATTTTGTATCCTGCCACTGTACTGAACTGATTGATTAGATGAATTAGTTTTTCTGTGGAGTTTTTGGGGTTCTCTATGTATATTATCATATCATCTGCAAATAATGGTAGTTTGACTTCTTCTTTTCCTATTTGGATTCCTTGTATGTCTTTCTTTTGTCTTATTGCTCTGGCTAGGACTTCCAGGATTATATTGAAAAGCAGTGGTGAGAGTGGACATCCTTGTCTTGTTCCAGAGCTTAATGGAAATGCTTTCAGCTTTTCACCATTGAGAATGATACTGGCTGTTGGCTTGTCATAGATGGCCTTTATGATGTTGAGGTATGTTCCTTGTATCCCAAGAATTTCAAGGGCTTTTATCATGAATGGGTGTTGCACTTTGTCGAAAGCTTTCTCAGCATCTATTGATATTATCATATGGTTTTTATATTTCTTTTTGTTGATGTGTTGGATAACGTTGATTGATTTTCGGATGTTAAACCATCCTTGTGCCCCTGGAATGAATCCAACTTGGTCGTGGTGAATTATCTTATGGATACATTGTTGGATTCTGATAGCTAAAATTTTATTGAGGATTTTTGCATCAGTGTTCATTAGGGAGATTGGCCTATAGTTTTCCTTTTTTTGTGTTGTCCTTATTCGGTTTTGGTATTAGTGTAATATTGGCTTCATAGAACGTGTTTGGTATTGTCCCTTCCTTCTCAATTTTTTGGAAGAGTTTGTGAAGGATAGGCACTAATTCGTCTCTGAATGTTTGGTAGAATTCATTTGTAAATCCATCAGGTCCTGGGCTTTTGTTTTTGGGGAGGTTTTTGATTACCATTTCAATTTCACTGCTTGTAATTGGTCTGTTT